AACTGCAGTCCACTTCAGCCTGGATGAGAACAACTTTTGGGAAAGCAAGGCTATGTGAAATTCAATGGAAGTGTCAGCTCTACTCATTGTGGAGGAATTCTACTACCAGTCCTTCATCACCTTATACGAAATAGGCTGAATACATCTCAGAAACTAATAATGTTCCTGCCTATTCCTTCTTTTCGAAAATTATCCACTCTTTCCAGATCAGCATGCTACAATGTCTTGTACTCATGTGATAGTATTTATGAGGGAGAGACCTTTGACCGGTACAGAAAAGGGTATTTAAACGCAAAATTGTCTGCAAAGGTCTATCGATGCAAAAATCCGAACTAGTTTAAAACTTGATCAATAAAGTGGTCTGGAAAACAATGTTTTGCAGGCCACGGGGATTTCACATCCAAATATAGGATTAGGGGGTCTATAAATAAAAAAACCAAGATTCTGAATAAGAGGAATGGATGTAGGAAATTGAGCCTGAACTATTCGTGGCTGTTGGATAGAATTAAAGGGAGACAGGAAGAGAGGAAAGAGGAAGAACCGCTGATTACGAGGGGGAGGCTTGAGTAGCTTCGAGTCTGATTAGGACGTACACACTTCCCATAACTTTGACATGCGTACACACAATACGCAAAAAGCTTCAGAATCATACGTTTTATCATGTAGGCCAGGAAACAGCTGTCTCTACATCCACTTCCTTTGATGTATCAATCTCCTCCATCTACAAGAATGTATGCTAAGCATGAAATAGCTAACCATATTATTGTATGCCTCGATAGGATTGCAAAGTCAGGCACAAGAAGGGAATGTAATTGCACAGGACTACCATTAGTTTCTTGGCTTATTGTATTTGGTACGTTTTGTTTGTAGAGTATGCTTTATCGCTCTGAAGATGTGTCACATGACGGACGAAAGCTTAGCACGTGCTCGTCGGAGTCACATGATAATGGCCTGAGGACTTCTTCTCATAATCCAATAGTTTTAATTCCTCCAAGACAAACCTTCGGTTTATAATGCGACCAATTTAAAAATTTCTTCCAACCAACTTTTTCTTTGAAATGAAAGGTCATGTAACAATAAATCAATAAAGAATTCTTTAGAACCCAATTTTTTTCCATATCCTTACATCATTGGGTTACATGACTCCCATGACTGAATCATTAACGTTTCTTTAATTTTCTTTCAGGATGCCAACAGGTCAATTCTATTTCCACATTTCTTTTAGCTGAGGTTGAAGCTAACGAAATTAGCCTCACTCGATCTATGGGTGTCATCAATCGTCATAATCTTGTATCGTCTCATATGTCTTGAAAGTCCTATTTTGTCTCTGGCTTATTCATGTAGGGGCCTTATTATTGATTTATATTTCGTTTTGAGTACGTTTTCGAGATGCTAATTGATGTCATGCCTGCTTCCGAATCCTCATTACTGGACTGAGTGGGTGAAAAATCTCCAAAGATACCTATACTCAACCAATTTAATTAACGAATTGGATGCTTATATGACCTAGGCGAGGTCGAAACTGCAAGATGTTAAAACCTTTTTAGGCGCAATTTATTGAACTCACGAGGTCTACTCATTTTCTTGTGGAAAATTTCTCTATTAGTCCATAAATTATTGTAGGCGTCCCGGAGTAACTCATTATTAGACATTTATTGGATCTTGATTTCTTCCACGATATCATGAAAGAATCATGTGAAAATGTATGCCTGATGTATAGTCTACTTTTAAAATACTACAAGTAATATATATATATGTTCATTCAGTTTTCTCCATTTTTAACTATGATAATTATTGGTCTAAAAGTTGGGTAATTAAATATTAAATCAGAATTTTACTAGACTTGGAATCTCTCGTGAGGCTTTGCTATCCAGAGCGGATTGACATCGTTGAATGCCGTCCTTTCTCGCTAATGCCCATGATAAATTGGTGTTATGCGAAAAATTAATGAAATTTCAGTTTTTATATTAGTATGAATATGTACGCCAGAGCTATATCGAAAAGAAGCTTTTTTGATGAGATATTCTTCCCTTTCTTGGTATTCATATAAAATTGTTTATCTAAAGTGAATTCGCGCTTTAAATCACTCATTAATTTCCTTATAGTTGATTTGGCTGTAATTTCCTCAGATGTTTTTTTTCATGAATTTCGTTTGCTTACTCACAATTATAAGACACTCTTTGATTAATAAGGCCAGTTTCTTAACCATGGGCATCCAATAAATTTAATTTTCTCTTCAAAATTTAAAGTTAAATGACCTCCAAGAATTGTTCTCTTTGAAATCTTGGAACAACTCTCACATCCTTCCATATTTAATGATTTTAGAGGCAAAATTAGTAGACTGATTCTAGGTCTGCTTCTTTCAGGCATCAGATATTCGATACTTAGTGTAGCTTTAGGAACTAATGTTATTTCTCAATTTTAACACTGTCTCAATTATATTATCTTCAAGGCTAATATTAATTCAGCTCTTTATAACAGTATTTAATTATAGTAGCTGCCTTGGTCATCTTGGCAGGAAGGCTTAGAAAAACGCACCTTGTCCGAAATCTATAGTATGCGTGATACTTTTTAGAGTCAGACCGTGTACTTGGTGAATTTACAGACGTTTAGCAGGCATCGTCAGTGAGCCTTGTCATTCTCAGTCCCAAGCTCCAGCTCGTCAAAGAGACAAGTGAAGTCAATCCTTGACTTTTTACCGAAACGGTTGTGCTAGCACTCCTTTTTCTTTCATGACCATCTATCTACTCTTGTCTTTTGGACGAGTTATAGTTTGGTACTCAGAATGGCATAACATTCACTGACAATGCCGGCAAAGTGTCTGGGAATGTACCAAGTCCACGGTCCGACTCTGGAAATTATTATGCATAATATGGACTCAGGACAAGGAGTGTCCCTCCAAGTCTTCCTAACAAAATGACCAAGTTGCGAAAACAAGGTCAAGCAACTACTATACATCGAAAGGTATTCGCATCAATATTTAATCATATTTACTTTTGCAGGATCTTGATTCTTTTATGTCTTAAAATGATACATAATAGTGGAATTTTAGGGTACTATTACGTTCTGCTTATATACTTTTTTGCATCTTACAATTCCTCAGGAGACCGTTGCACTTCGTCGATCCCCCGACCATCCGCACCTTCTGGCGCTGGCTACGCATCGTGCGGTACTCCTTTTCGACATCCGCTGCCCTTCCATGGGCGGCCGAGCTTCATCGGCAGCTGCCATTTCGACTGAATCAACTTGGTCGGATGGCTGCGCTAGTCAATCAGAATCAGCCGGACCACTTCGTCGGCGGCCACCCACTGCCACTAGCGGTGTGAGTATCTTCCAACCTCCTTTGGATACTGACTCCGGCGTCCGCTCTCTAAATTTTTTCGGGCGTGTTCTCTCGTTCGGCACATCAGCCGGTCATGTACACTTTTATGATTTGGCTACAGGTCGCGAACTGCCCATAAAACTGACTCTTGAGACTGGGCCATCGGTTACAGATAACTCCACAAGCTCTGAACCTAGATCTTATAATTTACAACCTCCACCATCAGACTTGTACCGCGACACTGGTTCAGAATCTTTGGATTCGTTTGGGTTGCGCCATGGTGCCACCACGCATTATCCCTCACTTGACTATCTTCGTAGAATCCAGCAACAACAGCAGTACTGGCGTGTCCAAGCTTCTGCCAGTGTACCTCAGGCTTCCCCGTTTTTCCAGCGCCTCAGAGACCGGTTGACGCGTCAGCTAAGCTTCCGCGATAACCATGAGCTTCGGGAATCAGGACCTTCTCAATCCAGTCAATCAGAGCGACGGCATCAGTATCAACGAAATCTTTTAGCACGACATCTAATTTCATCTTCTCTATTGGCTCTCCCGCCAATCACTCTTCCTCGACAAACTGCTGGCCCTGAGTCTGAATCCAGCCTGGAGCAGCCTCCTCCAACATTGTCTCCATCACCGTTTGCATTAGCAGCAGTCAATGCTCTCGCACCTCCCTCTTCCTTGGCCTTTTCGTCGGCACTCAGAGCACCGCAACATAATTGCCTCCAGATGAATGTCCGCAATGCCGCCGACTGC